TCATTGAAGCAGCTGAAGACGTGTAAGATCGCAGTGATTGCAAAGCATCAGGGAAGCAGGAGCGTCCAGAATCACTTGTTTGGGTTCACCTCACTTATTTTTCCATTTTTGCAGCAGAATTGTTGTTCAGCATGGAGAAATGTCATGTTACTCAGTTGCTTGGGGGATTTTTCTTCTCTTTTTGGAGGGTTCTCTGTGCATGGCGGTTTCTCTTTGTTCTCAACCACTCTTACTCTGCTACAGCTAAACTCATAGAATCCCAGACTGGTTTGGGTTGAAGGGACCTTAAAGCTCATCCAGTTCCAGCCCCTGCCATGGGCAGGGACACCTTCCACTGGAGCAGCTTGCTTCAAGCCCCTGTGTCCAACCTGGTCTTGAACACTGCCAGGGACGGAAGTCAGGGAAAGAGAGAGATGCTGAAGAGATGCTAAAATCCTCTTCCCTGTGGAGGTTTTTCCTGCCAGGAGAGCACTTAGCAGACAAAATAATGTCACTTAGTAAAGAAAATACTGTCAGAAAGCTGCTGTGGTGGCACATACCACATAGACAGTGATCTGGAGGGTCAGGGGTCTTTGTTTCTGTAGAGCAAAAGAAGTGTTACTGAGAACAGAACAAGGAGGATCTCATAGAAAAGAGTTACATCCAACATGAAGTTTAAGAAAGCTGGAGAGGGGCTTTGGCCAAGGGCCTGTAGGGCCAGGCCAAGGGGAATGGCTTGAACCTGCCCGAGGGGAGACTGAGCTGAGCTCTGGGGCAGAAGCTCTTCCCTGTGAGGGTGCTGAGGCGCTGGCACAGGGTGCCCAGAGAAGCTGTGGCTGCCCCATCCCTGGCAGTGTTCAAGACCAGGTTGGACACAGGGGCTTGGAGCAAGCTGCTCCAGTGGAAGGTGCCCCTGCCCGTGGCAGGGGTTGGAGCTGGAGAAGCTTTAAGGTCCCTTCCAACCTAAACCAATCTATGGGTTCTCTGATTTCTCTGTCCTTTTCAATCCCAAGGGTTTTGTGGCGCAACAACAATAGCAGAGTGTAGAAATATTTGTAGAAATGAAAGGTATAAGGGGGGGTGCTTTTTACTCTGATAAAGAGAAGTGATCCAAATGATGCAAGATACTGAAACCACCTAAATCCGAAAGAACACTAAATTTGGCCACTTGGTAGATACTTTCCAAACCTCAGTGTTACATCAGCTATGCCTATCATGCTTTCTGCAACTGATAATAGGTTTGTGGGGACCTGGCCTTTATCAGTACCACTCCGTTATTAAAGATCTCTCTGACCATAGCAGAGGGGTTGGAATTAGATGAGCTTTAAGGTCCTTTCAACCCAAACCAGTCTGGGGTTCATAGGGCTGCTTTGAAAACCATCATTAATACGTCTTTTTAAAAGCTACTTGCTTTTCTATTAGTGATCTTCTGGTTTGGGATGTCTTTCTCTTTCCTTTTCCATTGGTAGTTCCTGTTTGTTAATATAGTGTGTGTATAGATATGTTTTTCCTCCCCCAGTGTCTGTTACAACTGGCAACATTGGAAAATTCTGTTAAATAGGAGGTAAAGTTTGATAATAGGGAACTTCAGATAGAAGCTGCAGCCTGGAAACAGGGATTAGAATCATTGAATCATAGAATAGTTAGGGTTGGAAAGGACCTTAAGATCATCCAGTTCCAACCCCCCTGCCATGGGCAGGGACACCTCACACTAAACCATGGCACCCAAGGCTCTGTCCAGCCTGGCCTTGAACACTGCCAGGGATGGAGCATTCACAACCTCCCTGGGCAACCCATTCCAGTGCCTCAGCACCCTCACAGGAAAGAATTTCCTCCTTATATCCAATCTAAACTTCCCCTGTTTCAGTTTGAACCCATCACCCCTTGTCCTATCACTGCAGTCCCTGATGAAGAGTCCCTGCCCAGCATCCTTGTAGCCCCCTCCACACACTGGAAGCTGCTCTGAGGTCTCCACGCAGCTTCTGCTCTCCAGAATTTTCTTCTCTTGCTCCAGGATTTGAGCACCCATGAAGCTTTGCTGCTCTTTTATGGTCCTTCCATTGAACACAGCTTCATCTGTAGGTGTTGATTCCTTGGGTGAGGGATTGCCACAGTTTTATGTCCCAGCCATCCATCTGCCAGGCAGATTGGCAAAGAGTTATACCCCCATCAGTGTGAAATGCTCCTTTTTTTATAGCACAGCAACACAACATGTGGGGTTTGGGGTGGAGGAAGGGAAAACCAAGACATGGAGGAATCTTCACATGAGTTACAATTGGGTTTATGTGACAGCCAAGCTCTTTATGATATATTTGCTCTTTCTAAGTCTTGCTTAATGTGTTAATAACAAATGGAGTTGTGAAGTACATCTCTTTGACAGCTGGTGAGCAGAGGTTGCACAGTGCTTGAAGGGGTTTCCAGACATTTCTGACCTCTTCTTCCAATAAGAATTGATTAAAAGCAGTGTACTTTTAAATCAGTGGATCGGTTATTACCATTCAGGAAGTATTCATTGAACTTCCTCTTCAATTCAGTGATTTACATCTCAGAATGAAGGGGAAAGGTAAATCCAAACCTCTTGTTTGACAGCCATCAGAGAGCAGACTGGTCTCGTAGTTCTGGTGAGCTGGGGTTTTGCATATTTAGACTAAAAGTTGGTTCAGTGTTTGCTCACCTATCACAGGTTTGAATCACAGAATGGTTTGGGTTGGAAAGGACCTTAAGATCATCCAGTTCCAACCCCCTGCCATGGGCAGGGACACCTCACACTAAACCATGGCACCCAAGGCTTTGTCCAACCTGGCCTTGAACACTGCCAGGGATGGAGCATTCACAGCTTCTCTGGGCAACCCATTCCAGTGCCTCAGCACCCTCACAGGAAAGAACTTCTTCCTTAGATCCAATCTAAACTTCCCCTGTTTCAGTTTGAACCCATCACCCCTTGTCCTATCACTGCAGTCCCTGATGAAGAGTCCCTCCCCAGCATCCTTGCAGCCCCCTTCAGGCACTGGAAGCTGCTCTGAGGTCTCCACGCAGCTTCTCTTCTCCAGGCTCAACAGCCCAACTTTCTCAGCCTGTCTTCATAAGACAGGTCCTTTCCTTTGTTTGGTACATGGAGGTGCCCAGCACAGTAGGGGCGACAGGGCTTACGGTGGCTGGGGATGCAGGTGCAGCCAGTATTGCTTCTCCTGAAATGGGATTTTTAGTCATGACACTGCACCTGTCAGTGAAACTGAGAGGAAGGAGAGGTTTTATGGATTTACTCAACTTGGGCTGGGGATTTATGTTGTAATTATTGGAAGTAAAGCTATCAGTAATTACTCAGTGAATCTCTGTCCTGTTCTGTAGAATCCTTGATTATGTGGCTTGGAAGGGACCTTTAAGCTCATCCACTTCCAAACCCCCTGCCACGGGCAGGGACCCCTTCCACTGGAGCAGCTTGCTCCAAGCCCCTGTGTCCAACCTGGCCTTGAACACTGCCAGGGATGGGGCAGCCCCAGCTTCTCTGGGCACCCTGTGCCAGTTCCTCACCAGGTGACTTTTCAATGAGTATCAAGGAAGCATGTCCTCAAACCATATGGAAATCAGGAGAGCGTTTGCATGGAGTTCTGTTCCTGGCTCTCTAGAAACATACTGCATTGAAACATCACCATCTCAAGCCTGTACAACGTGATTGATGTGCGTGGAAGGGATCGTGCTCCACTGCTGTGGGTGAAGTCGGGTGTTGCCAAAGGTTAAACAACCAGTTGACTTCCCTGCCTGAGCCCAACAGTGGTGGGCTTTGTTTCGCTGGAGCAAAACAAGAAGTGTTATTGAGAACAGAACAAGGACGAGCTCACAGGGAAAAGTTACATTCAGCATCAAGCCTAAGAAAGCAAAGCTGCTGGGCTGGGCTGATGCAAAACCATCCAGTTGCCTGACACCGTGCAGAGAGAAACACAGGGACTAAAGAGCAGAATTAACATTAATAATTAAAAGTGTGCTACATTTTTCAATCTCATGGCTACTGTAACTGGGTGACTGCTTAATCCCAGGCGCAAGAGAACTTCTGTAGTTCACTGATGACCGTGCAACCTTGAATGATCAAAGTTGGGCATTCCATTGTGGGCATATAAATGTCATTTCATGGCTTGATCTTAGTTATAGATTCATAGAATCATGGAATGGTTTGGGTTGGAAAGGACCTTAAGATCATCCAGTTCCAACCCCCTGCCATGGGCAGGGACACCTCACACTAAACCAAGGCTCTGTCCAGCCTGGCCTTGAACACTGCCTGGGATGGAGCATTCACAGCTTCCCTGGGCAACCCATTCCAGTGCCTCAGCACCCTCACAGTAAAGAACTTCTTCCTTATCTCCAGCCTGAACTTCCCCTGTTTCAGTTTGAACCCATCACCCCTTGTCCTATCACTGCAGTCCCTAATGAAGAGTCCCTCCCCAGCATCCTTGCAGCCCCCTTCACACACTGGAAGCTGCTCTGAGGTCTCCACGCAGCTTCTCTTCTCCAGGCTCAACAGCCCCAACTTTCTCAGCCTGGCTCCATACAGGAGCTGCTCCAGTCCCTGCTCATCCTCGTGGCCTCCTCTGGACTTGTTCCAACAGCTCCATGTCCTTTTTATATTGAGGACCCCAGCACTGCACACAGTGCTGCAAGTGAGCTCTCACAAGAGCAGAGCAGAGGGGCAGGATCACCTCCTTGGACCTGTTGGTCACGCTCCTTTTGATGCAGCTCGCAGCCCAGAAAGCTGAGGTGTGCATGTTCTATGATTCTCTGTGTGGGTCTCAGAGTCCTTCTGGTCTCAGCTATTAACCTGAAACTCCTTATTGTTCTCAAGAGGAACTAAAGGCAAAGCATAAAAAGGGAGTGGAAATAGCAACCTTGCACAGTATAGTTTGCTACTAATACAGGTTGACCGCTTCTTTATATGTCATATTATCAGACATATAAAGATATAGGAGCAAAACGTCTGATTCAAGAGCAAAAATGTACCTCTGTTAACTTGTTTTTCCTTCTTTTAACAGAGCATTCAGAAGCTGGCCAGCCAATACTTGAAGAAGGACTGGCTTGGAATAAAAGCTGATGAGAGAAGTGATTATAGGTAATTTCACAGTTGGACATCTTGAAATTACTCTTTATAATTTCCATTTGTGTGATTATTTTACCTACCCATTTAACAGTGCTCTGCTGTAGTTAAAGTCATTTCTGTTCTTTGTGGTAGAGCATTGCCAGTTAAAAATGAAGCTGTTTTCCCCTGAAGTACTGAGATTAGGTTTAAATGGATGCTTATTACTTGAATAAAAGCAGGGCTTAGAGCAAGCTGCTCTAGTGGAAGGTGTCCCTGCCCATGGCAGGGGTTGGAACTGGAGGAGCTTTAAGCTCCCTTCCAACCCAAACCAGTCTAGAAATAATTCAGGAAGATTGGAAGAACAAAATGACACCACAGGGCAACTGTATTAGTGCACCCTGTTGGGTATTAATGCTTAAAACTGAATCTAGTGGTGGCTTAGTGCCATGGGTTAGTGGCGGCCTTGGCAGTGCTGGGGAACAGTTGGAATTGATGATCTTAAAGGTCTTTTCCAACCTGGTTGATTCTGTGATTCTCTGTATTCTAGCAAATAGCTTAAAGGTTACAGTGATAAATGTGGGGATCTCTTCATCGGAAAAGCAGCAAGACATTCCTCTTTAGGAGACCATTCTTCATGCAGATCCCATCTGACAGCAGGGAGGAGGCAGAGCAAGAACCACTTGTTTACAAAACTTAGTTCCATTAACATGAGGGGTGGATCAGAACATGAAAGCAGAAGTGACTCAGTTGGTAAAAGCCTCCCCCCCTTTGAATGGGACCTCTTAAATCTCTTAAGATACTCCATTTTAATCTGTTCTTAATTCTGACAAGTTTTATTGCTAACAGGATGAAATTGTTGATGGAATTTGCTTTGGACTGTCAGTACCTTCACACCACTTGTGTGTGAGTAGCAAACTGCATTATCAGTCTGAAGTGTGTAGAAAATGCTCCCATATCACACAGACCCCTCCTACCTACAGTTTGCTCCCCACTCACAAGCCTTTCATGCCATTATGAAATGCCATAATGCCCAGAGGTCTTCTTCAAGTACCTGCCACCCCCGTGCTCCTCATCACCAGGTGCTTGGGCTCTGTGGGCTCCACCAACCTTTCCCCATGTGAGCCAAGGGGAGGTCTTTTCCCCCTCTCACCCTACTCCACCCTCTTGGGCACTTCTGAGCTTTAGTGGTGAGATACCAGGGCCATGCAAAGCTCACTACACATCTGTGGGTGTTATCTTGTTACACATGATGAAGGAACTACAGGTAGCAGAGATAAAATGGATGAGCAGTCTGTGAATGTTTGCTTGATGGCAAGATGCCCAAATCACAAATTCCATGATCTTATAGAGGATTGTTAAGGTGCCATCTGGCTTTGCCTGCTGGGGTATGTAGGGTCTGTTCCACTGCAGCACCAGCTTTGACCAAAAATCATAGAATCATGGAATGCTTTGGGTTAGAAGGGACCTTAAAGCTCATCCGTTTCCAGCCCCCTGCCACGGGCAGGGACCCCTTCCACTGGAGCAGCTTGCTCCAAACCCCTGTGTCCAACCTGGCCTTGAACACTGCCAGGGATGGGGCAGCCACAGCTTCTCTGGGCACTGTGTGCCAGCGCCTCAGCACCCTCACCCTATGCTCACTGTAACCTTCCCCAGCCCTGCCCTCCCCTTTTCCCCCTTTTCTCCTTCCTCTTCTTTCTTCTCCTTCCCTTCCCTTCTTCCCACAACCTTTCTGTGTTTCGCTGTTTCAGGAGCATGTACTCCGTATGGAAGTCCCTTTTAGAAGGCACGATGCAGGTGGCTCAATCCCGCCTCAATATCTGTGAGAACTATAAGAACCTGATTTCAGAGCCAGCCCGGACTGTGCGGTGCTTTAAGGAGCAGCAGTTGAAGAAGGTACTTGTGCTTTAAACTCCTTTCAACTCCTGTTATTTCCACTCGGTGATTGGGAATCTTTTCCTATGGCACTTCTGTAACCTGTACTTTCAGTCTCTTCCTGTGCATGCTGTTCCAGAAGGAAATAGCCAGTTTGTCAGAGGGGTCACAATTCAGAGCAGAGATTAAAACTGCTTGGAAATGAGTCTTCTCAAATGGGGTACACCCTGGGTCAGAGGTATCTCTGCAAATCTAACATCCTGCTGTGGCAATGGGGTTTGTAGTGACAATTCCAAGTGGGTTTTGTTCGAATGGGTTCTGATTTTGAGGACAGGCATAGCTTAAACCTGAAGGAATGACTGGTGGAGTCATAGAACTGGAGTTATTCTGGATCTTCTAAGAGGGGCAGCCCCTCTTTCAGATATCAGTTGACTACCAAGTCTTTGCTGTGTGAGCTTCCATCATGCACAACTTGATCATACAACTTGTTCCCACTTGTACAAGAAATCTACTCTGCAATAGGGAGCCTCACTTCTCCATGAATTCCTATTTATAAAGAAAATTGCAATAGAACTGAAGTGCAGAGCAGCAGAGTTTTATCCCGTGGTTTTTAGGGGATGGTGACTAAAGGTTCTTAGGAAAGAAGTGAGCTTGTAAGCTGCTTTCCTAAGAAATCCCTTAGCTAAATGTGCCCATGGAATTGCATGACATGTCCAGTGCATCAAGAAACAGGCCAGAGCTTTCCAAAGTGCACATTAGAAGCAGAGGATGTCATACAGAGCCCAAGTGTGATGGGGAAGGGCTGAGGGAGCTGGGGGGTTCAGTGTGGAGAAGAGAAGGCTCAGGGGGGGACCTGATGGCTGCCTACAAGTGCCTGAGAGGAGGATGGAGCCAGGAGGGGCTGGGCTCTGCTCCCAAGGAACAAGGGATGGGACAAGAGGAACCGGCCTCAAGCTGCACCAGGGCAGGTTTAGATGGAGCTGAGGAACAATTCCTGCCCCAGAGGGTGCTCAGGCATTGGAACAGGCTGCCCAGGGCAGGGCTGCAGGCACCGGCCCTGCAAAGGTTCACACCCCATGGAGACGAGGCCTCAGTGCCATGGGGCAGTGGTGGCCTTGGCACTGATGGGTTAATGGTTGGATCAGATGAACCACTTCTTGGGGCCACTTCTTTAAATTTATGCAAATGATAGAAATTCCTGGTTTCCCTACACTTTTAAATCAGCAGAACAAGTTATTGCAGTTATCAGGACAGTACTTGTGGTCCAAAGGATTCTAACAGCGGTACAGTTTTCCTACAACATGGAAGCATTCATTTTCCTCCACAAAAAATGTAGTTTTTTATACATTGCTGTCTAAATTTCACCTTTCCTCACCCTTTCCTTTGGATTTCCCAAGGAATAAATAATAGATTATGCTGACCTCCATGCAGGCAACAGCTTATAAGTGCTGAATTGCTGAGTCAGTAAAATACTTGTCCCATCACACTGGAATGCCCATCTGAAATCAAGGTGCTATTAAAAGCAGCATCTCCTTCCAAGGTTGCGGCAGGTATTGTGTTGATCTCGATGAGTTCCCATCCTCATTTTCCAGATGTTGCTGTAAACCTTTCCATCTTCCACTTGGTAGGATACAGAAACTTCATTTTATCACCCCTTTTAATAGTAAACTGGAACCAGTTCAGAAAACCTCATCATAACTGGCTGAAAAACATGGATGAATCACAGGGTGACTCTGGAGCAGGGTATAAATGTGTCTCCTGTGGACCACATCCAGCCTTGTAAGCAAACTGATCCCCTGCCCTCCCAGGATACAGACAAAAGGCTGTTTAGGGGGCAGCAGCCCACCCCCTGCCGTTATCCTTCCCTAGAGACCTTGTCAGCTCACCCCATAAGTGATGTGTGATTTCAGCTGTTGGCCTTGGAAGATGTTCTGTTCATCAGGTATCTCTATAGAGATGATGTAGCCACCACTGAAGACATTTGCATGGATCTCTATCGGAGGACTGAAGGCAAATAGAGTAAAACCACTGTGTGTGGAGGGAATGCAACAAGAAACCATCTCTGTCACCTCTGAAACAGCTTTTTACAGTGTCTGCACAACCCCAAACCACTGAACAGCATCCAGTCTCCTAACACCATCTTCGGAGATGCAGCAGCCAAGATGCTTTTATGCTTTTAAAACCATCATGTTAACAACCGGGGTTATTTGATACTTTAATTTCTTGATGCCAGCAGGAGACTTCAGGGATCAAAATACCAACTGATGCAGCAACCCTCCCCCCCTCGTTTTGCAGTGATTTTAGGTCTCTGTCAGCTCTCCAACATACACAGATCTTTCCACCTTTCATTTCTCTATCCTACCCTTGGAGGTCCTCAGAAACCCCCCCACCATTCCCCAAACCACCCACCACGGAGTTACCTCATGGAGCCTGGTGCTTTATTGGTCTGCACACATCAAACACTGGGTTTAGTGTGAACCTGCATGAATTTTTATGGACTTTATAGCCAGAAAGGAGTGTGACGTTTCGAGTGAGAGCAGAATTGTGTGGTGAGGAGTGATTTCTGTTGCCTCAAACAAAAAGCTGCTTTCTTTATGGGCTGGATATTATGATTATTAACAATTGTTGAATGCTGTGAAATCAAAGTGATGATGTTGGATTACATCACCTTATTCTTCTCAAAATGCTTGTAAAAGAGGTTGCATGTATTAATAAGTACTGTAATGAAAAACCTGAGGTGTTTAGAGGGGGTGTTCAATAAGAGAGCAATGTAAAGCAACTGCACTGGAAGAATAATACAGGCACAGAATCCCAGGCTGAAGGGACCTCAAGGATCATGCAGTCCAACCTTTCCAGGCACAGCATTACCTAGATGGGATGCCCAGCACCCTGTGCAGCCCCATCTTAACAGTGTCCAACACTGGGGAGTCCCCACTTCCCTGGGGAGACTATTCCAGTGTCTGGTTGTTCTCACTGGGGAAAGTTTTCCTCTTGTGTCCATTGGGAATCTCCCAGCAGTAGCTTGTGCCCATCACCCCTCAGCTCTCCCATGGGACTCCTTGTCCAAAAGAAGTCTCCATCTTCTCTGCAGCTCCCCTTTAAGTCCTGGCACATGGATCAGGTCTCCCTGAGTCTTCTCTTCTCCAGCTGAACAGTCTCAGCTCTCTCTGCTGCCCAGCCCTTGGATTATCCTTGTGGCCCTTCTCTGGACCATCTTCAGCCCGGCCACATCTCTTGTACAGCAGGACCAAAACTGAACCCATATTCCAGGGGTGGCCTGACCAGCACTGAGCAGAGCAGGACAGTGACATCTTTATCTCTGCTGGTGATGCCCTTGTTGATGTTCCCCAGAACCCTGTTGGGTTTCTCTGCCCCAGCCACTCACTGTTGATTCCTATGGAGGTGGTGACCCTGAGAACCTCCAGATCCACCCAGCTGGGTATGTGATAATGGTGTGAAAAGAGGTGAGAGCTTGGGTCTGGTCTTTGAAGGACAAAAGAGGCAACTTAAAAGACAAATTGCTTTCCTTAAGCTTGCTTGAGGCTCTGCCTCTGAGTTTTGCCTGGAGCCTTCATGGACCACATCCAGTCTGTAATATCTATAATTAAATATAAATGCATTGAACTATCACTCTTACATGTACTTAAGCTCATTTGGGTACAAGAAAATCTTTACAAATCTCTTTTGAAGATAGTCTAGTTCAAGACATTGATAATTCACATTTGGTTTGTTAGCAAGGTCCTTTCTGCATACCACAGATCCAGACAGAAAAACCAGTACAGTGGTTTTTCTGCTATTCCTTTGATTATTCTATTGTGACATTAAATTGTGTCTTGTAACATTGCTTGGCTTGGATGGAAAAGCATCCCTGGGTTATTCCCACAGTTTTGGTTCCAAATCTAACCCACAGCCCTGTACCAGCTACCGCACTCAAAGTTCACATCCTCTCAGTCAGAACCAGTACAGTGGTTTTTCTGCTATTCCTTTGATTATTCTATTGTGACATTAAAATGTGTCTTGTAACATTGCTTGGCTTGGATGGAAAAGGTTGGAGTTATTTTCCCTCCTTCACTCACCCATTCCGCATTTTAAGCCTTTAAATGAATGACACTGATTTCTGATACATCCCTATTTGTTGGAAACCCCTCAAAATAGAGAAAAATAGGCTCTTAAAATAACATTTTTCAGATTATTCTTGTTGCTCTGGTGTGTTTTATGTGGCAGCTTTTCTCTTACACTTTATACTGCAGAGAAGGAAGGATTAACCATTTTCTTTACCACCTCCGATAGCTTGCCATTGGATTTTCCCCAGTTACATTCCACTTATTTCAACTCATTGCCTCATCCAGAGCTTTCACAAGTTGAATATTTCATTTGTGAGTTATCATTGAATTTCAGTAGTTAAAGAAGAGCACAAAGAAAGAAAGAAAGAAACGTGGGGTTTATGCACTGATCAGCTTTAAAAACGACCTGAATGATTGACCAGGAGTGACTCTTAGAAAATGTAATCAAGAGCAGTAAAACCAGGATGATGGCATGATTTGGATGCAAAAACCCATTAATGCTTTGTTTCCTGCCTGCTTTTTTCCAGTGTGTGGACCAGTTGACGAGGATCCAGGCTGAGTTACAGGAGACAGTCAAAGATTTAGCTAAAGGCAAGAAGAAATATTTTGAGACGGAGCAGATGGCTCAAGCCGTGCGGGAGAAAGCGGATATTGAGGCCAAGTATGTTGTTCTAATAGCATATGTATCAATAATTGCATGCATATCAAGCAAACTGGGACTTGTATTAGTTTTAGAAGGTAATTGTTTTCAATGAGCTTGGGCCAGGTTGTTTGCTTTCTGCTATTTCTGGAACCATTTCATAGAATCATAGAAACCCAGGTTGGAAGGACCTCAAGGATCATCTGCTCCAACCTTTCCAGGCAAAGCATGACCTAGACTGGATGCCCAGTGCCCTGTGCAGCCCAACCTTAACAGTGTCCAACTCTGGGAAGTCATCACTTCCCTGGAGAGATTATTCCAGTGGCTGCTTGTTCTCATTGGGAAACTTTTTACTCTTGCATTCCCAGAAGTAACTTGTGCCCATCACTCCTCATCTTTTCCATGGGACTCCTTGTAAAAGGGGAGGCTCCATCTTCTCTGTAACCACTCCTTAAATACTGGAACATAGAATCATAGAATCCCAGACTGATTTGGGTTGGAAGAGAGTTTAAAGCTCCTCCAGTTCCAACCCCTGCCACGGGCAGGGACCCCTTCCACTGGAGCAGCTTGCTCCAAGCTCCTGTGTCCAACCTGGCCTTGAACACTGCCAGGGATGGGGCAGCCACAGCTTCTCTGGGCACCCTGTGCCAGCGCCTCAGCACCCTCACAGAGAAGAGCTTCTGCCTTACCTCCAACCTGAACTTCCCCTGTTTGCATTTAAACTCCTTGCCCCTTGTCCTGTCGCTCCAGTCCCTGATGAAGAGTCCCTCCCCAGCATCCTTGTAGCCCCCTTCACACACTGGAAGCTGCTCTGAGGTCTCCACACAGCTTCTCTTCTCCAGGCTCAACAGCCCCAATGTTCTCAGCCTGGCTCCATACAGGAGCTGCTCCAGCCCCTGCTCATCCTCGTGGCCTCCTCTGGTCTTGCTCTTACAACTCCATGTCCTTCTGATGTTGGAGACACCAGAACTGCACCCAGTGCTGCAAGTGGGGTCTCACCAGGGCAGAGCAGAGGGGCAGAATGCCCTTTATTGGTGTAGTTCAGTGTACTTTGTAGTATTTTCTTTGATCCTTAAGCCCCACTTAAATCTATGCAAATAAAACTGAAGGCTTAAGAAGTCATTTAAATTAACATTTTAAGTGAGGTGCAGTGGTTGTTTATCCTGCACATTTGTAGTGATGACATTAGTCAGTAATATCCTCTCTTCATTTCTGTTTCAGGTCCAAACTTAGTCTTTTTCAGTCAAGAATAAGCTTGCAGAAGGCAAGTGTAAAGGTGAGTAGAAGAAACAGTGGTTTTGCTGCTAATTTCACGAGGTGTGGGACCAAAGCTGTCTTGCATCTTAGATGAGTGACTGTTTGGAAGGTGTATCTTTAGAGAAGGTCATGAGAGAAGACTCTTTAAGCAGTCAGAGTGCAGAATTGCCTATGTCCATAAGGACACTCTTTCTAGTGGGAGTTGTAACTGTTCTTTACAGATCGCATGTGAAATTACAACTGCATGAAGGCAAGATGCATTAGAAATCCCATAACCATTAACAAAGCTGCTAAACTACCAATCCTTTAAAGCTTTGACTGTATTAATACATACATATGCATGTTAATTTACTGTTCATACACTTTTGCTCATTTAACTTCTCATTAATACCTTTTAACTTCTATTTCTTGTTGTAGTTAAAAGCACGGAGATCCGAGTGTAATTCCAAGGCAATCCATGCAAGGAATGATTATCTCCTCACGTTAGCAGCTGCTAATGCACACCAAGATCGCTATTATCAAACAGACCTAGTAAACATTATGAAGGTAAGGAAGATAATTTTTATGTATGGGAGTTGGGAAGTGTGAAACTATGGAAAGCAGAGTGGGTCTGGAAGTGCAAACTCCTGGGTTGCTTTGTTGAGTTTTCCAATAGGCTGGAATGGATGAATGCAGTGCAGGAGATGGATCCTGCAGTAGTGTGCAGGGTATTTGGTACCTGTTATCAAACCCAAAACTAAGCACTCACCTTTATACTGAATTCCTGAAAACTCCCTTGGATAAAGGAATCAGGTTTGTATAACTAAGACCTGTATTTGCCTATTGTGGTTGACCTCAAGTAAGCTGGAAATGGTTTAGTTGCTCAATAACATATCCCATAATCCTTTTAAGTGTCCCCATATCTGATCAGAACATTTCTTTATGGCATGATTAATGAAAATACAACCATTGTATCTTGGTTTCAAACCATGAATTGTAGAGAATAGCAAATCAACATTGGCGGTGTCACAAAGTCAAGCCAAGATACTTGAACCCATAGGAAACTACATACTTGAAAAGCTCAAATATGATTGCTTACCCTTTCTTTTTTTAATATCATCCTAAAATTACTTAAATGCACATATCTTAAAATGAGATAGTGACGGGAAACCTGTAAAATCTACAAAATTAGCTCTTTAAAGCCAGTTCATCCTCTCTGTAGTTGCACTTCATACGTTGCCATTTGCAAAGTTGATTTCAGGTTGCTCTCTGCACACTATTTCCAGGTGATGCAATCAGACACAGCACTTCAAAGCCTATAATTTGCATTTCAAATTGCTTTATTGAGTAACTATCAGTGTGTTTTAATAAATCCCTGTATTATCAGCATCTTTCTGCATCCTGGGGGAAAAAAATGGTGATAGGAAAAGCAGGTAACCGAAGGAGAAAACGAGAGCACCAAAAAGGAGCTTCCAAGGGACTTTTATATGTAATTCCATTATATCTTGACTAATTTAAGCACAATGCCACCTAGAGTAAATCCTAGTCTGTGGTACAAATTCATTTATCAGCCTACTACGTGACTTCTCAGAAGGCTTAACCAGATCTGGGTATCACAGAGGCAATGCAGGGCTGGTAGTTCTTGAAGCATCATCCTGTCTTTGCTCTGTGTGTGTATGTGGTTGTGCTTTTCTCTTAGTAAACCACAAATATTTGTGCTGACTAAATGTTTAGTGCATGAAAATGGTTATAAAGTATTTCCTTCTCATAGACAAGGTGAAGTTACTCACTGATGCCTACAGAATTCCAGCCTTAGGTGCATGGTTTGTTGGCATCCTTTAATGCTCTTATTTGGATGTAATGCCAGAAGTGAATTTAGATTTTCACAACAAAACAAGCAAAAAGGACATTTGACATAATCAAAAGGTGAGCAGATAGCCTGGGTAAAGTCCTGCCAGGCTCGGGTGGGTTATGGGTGCTCTCATCCCAGGGCATTCCAAGATAATCCCTGCAAAGGCATTCCTGTTTCCTCTATGTCTGGCTACATTTTGTATGCACTACAAACCGAGTGTGTGGTAAACTAGGTGGGATCTTCATCTCTTTTGAGTTTCCATAAACACTTCTGTCTTTTGGATGGTGTGAGCCTTCTGTAGTGTGACATTAGAAACCTGCAGATACCGCAGGAACGTGGGGTTTTAATAAGCTGCTATAAAACCTCAAACTAAAAATGATTTCATTGTTTCTGAAAGACTGAGAAGTGCAGCCATGGAAAACCAATGGAAGAAGTCATGCTGGTGCCATTCACCTGTGTACGTGCTGTTGTCCGTGTTCTATGTGCACAGGGTCCAGTTCCTGAAGTCAGTGCTGATCTGTGGTGGTTTCTTTACCCAGTTACTGCTTTCCCTCTTATCCAGTCCTTGAAGGGACTTCTTTTGAAGCTTTATTCAAACTGAACCTTTCTTTATTTCCTAAGGAAACCAACCTGGTCTTCTGTATAAATAATTGTGGTTTACTGAAAAGCAAAGGTGTAAGTGCTTTCGGTGACCCATATTACTTTAGAAGGATCACCTTCAGGGGTCTTTTTCTACATCTCTCAGACATTTCTAGTATCATGTCCTGTGGAACTGGGCTCCAGCTGCATTCAGCCAAGAGCTTTAATGTAAATTCAAATGTAAACTGCTTGAATGTAAACAGCGGTGTGTAATCTGGTGCTAAAACCCACCTCAGTGTGGCCCAGCCTTTGAAAAGGGCTTCAGGAGGGGCCCTGGCTATTAGAGATGAAGAAACCCTATATCCCTATGAGGCTGATAAGACAAGTGCAGTGATGAATGGAGGCAATTCACACATAGACAGATATGATGTGGTGGGAATAATCAACATCATTTTCTTCCTAAGAGGGAAAATGTCCTTCAAAAAGAGGGGATAAGGGTGATTCATCTGCTTTAATGTCTTGGATGTGCTGGGCGGCCTCAACAAACTTCCCACTCAGTCTCTGCTTATGTAAAAGGACATTGCAGCAGGGTGGTGAGGGTTTTCTCCTAGGTTAATAACTGATGAAGAGATACAGAAGATGTGGGATTAAAGTAAATACTTGAGCTTTATCAGGGAAGGAGAATGGCTGGCAAGGTCCTGGTTTCTCTCTTACCTGTCTTCTCCTCCTGAAGTGTGGGAACCACCCTTCTTAAAGCACTGAGAGAGTGATTATGTTATTTACCATAAGGATTTAACATAAACAGCATGGAGAAGGAACTGAAGAGAGAGGTGATGATTTGAAGATGGTGAAGAAACACAATCACAGAGTGGTTTGTGTTGGAAGAGACCTTAAAGCTCCTCCAGTTCCAACCCCTGCCACGGGCAGGGACCCCTTCCACTAGAGCAGCTTGCTCCAAGCCCCTGTGTCCAACCTGGCCTTGAACACTGCCAGGGATGGGGCAGCCACAGCTTCTCTGGGCACCCTGTGCCAGCGCCTCAGCACCCTCCCAGGGAAGAGCTTCTGCCCCAGAGCTCAGCTCAGTCTCCCCTCGGCAGGTTCAAGCCATTCCCCTTGGCCTGGCCCTACAGGCCCTTGTCCCAAGCCCCTCTGCAGCTTTCCTGCAGCCCCTTCAGGCACTGGAGCTGCTCTCAGGTCTCCCCTTCAGGAGCCTTCTCTTCTCCAGGCTCACCCAGCCCAGCTCTCTCAGCCTGGCTCCAGAGCAGAGCTGCTCCAACCCTTACAGGAGCTCCATGGCCTCCACTGGCCTCCCTCCAACAGCTCCACGTCCCCCCTTTTGCTGCTGCCCCAGAGCTGGATCAGGGCTGCAGGGGGGGGTCTCCCCTTCACGCAGCAGAGGGGCAGGATCCCCTCCCTGAGCTGCTGCTCACTCTCTAGGGGTGCAGCCCAGCACACGGGGGGGGGGTTCTGGGTTCAAGCCTGTGCTGCCCAGTCATTCAGTGTTGTTCTCTATAACCAAATATAAAGCTTATGAGCAAGAGATACAGGGATGTCTCAACGAGTGTTGACCAGGCAAAAAAATAGCACATGAAATTAATGTTAGAAGGAGAAAAGCAGTCAGCTGGGGAGGAGATTGCTGCCTGCAGAATAAAGACCACTGAATAGCCATTACCATTATGAAGGAGTTAATAGAACTGGAAAATGGACCAAAGGATAAGGAAATGGAGACTTTGTCTCTTAAATGTTTCTAATCCTTCCTCTAGACAACATCCCTGGGAAGGAGGTATTTTGGAAGGGGATTAAACCTGTTCTGAGCAGCACAGTTCTTGTTTTAGTACCTTGAGTGGTGGGGACCTCATACATGCTGTAATCCAGTTGTATCCAAACGAAACTGTTCCTTTATGTATTGTGATTAACAGTCTAAAAATGCACCTTTTATCTTCCTATTAGTAAGCCCTCAGGTATTCTTGTGATAGTGGCCACCTTGCTATCTCTAAGTATTTCTCCATTTAGCTGCAGTGGAGCTGACACCCCTTCTTCTGTTGGACCTCTGCAGGCCTCTCCACACCTTTACTTCATATCAAGTGCTTCCATAAACTCCTCACATTTCGTCTCTCTTCCAGCCCCTTTGGAGATGTTGCCTTATTGCAGATGCTCAACAGCTTCTCTTGGTTCTCTTTGAGTGAGGCTCTCAGACAGAGCTAAGCATTCCTGAAACATTCCCTTCTCATTCCAGCTGCCCCACGTAAAGCAGACTGGAAGACTGACTTAACCATGCCAAGTGCAGGGTCCTGCACCTGGGTGGGAGCAATCCCAGGCACAGCTACAGGTTGGGCAGAGAAGAGATTCAGAGCAGCCCAAGGAGAAGGACTTGGGGGTGTTGGTTGGTGAGAAAATGAACATGAGCCGGCTTCAGTGTGCGCTCGCAGCCCAGAAAGCAACCGTGTCCTGGGCTGCATCCAAAGGAGCGTGACCAGCAGGGCCCTCTGCTCTGCTCTGGTGAGACCCCACTTGCAGCACTGTGTGCAGTTCTGGTGTCTTCAACATAAAAAGGACATGGAGCTGTTGGAACAAGTCCAGAGGAGGCCACGAGGATGAGCAGGGGCTGGAGCAGCTCCTGTATGGAGCCAGGCTGAGAAAGTTGGGGCTGTTGAGGGTGGAGAAGAGAAGCTGTGTGGAGACCTCAGAGCAGCTTCCACTGTCTAAAGGGGGCTACAAGGATGCTGGAGAGGGACTCTTCATCAGGGACTGCAGTGATAGGATACGGGGTAACGGGTTCAAACTGAAACAGGGGAAGTTTAGATTGGATCTAAGGAGAAGTTCTTTCCTGTGAGGGTGCTGAGGCACTGGAATGGGTTGCCCAAGGAAGTTGTGAATGCTCCATCCCAGGCAGTGTTGAAGGCCAGGTTGGACAGAGCCTTAGGTGCCATGGTTTAGTGTGAGGTGTCCCTGCCCATGGCAGGGGGTTGGAACTGGATCATCTTAAGGCCCTTTCCAACCCAAGCTATTCTATGATTCTGTGACTTCTGTGTGGAGCAGGTTGGGGTTGCTGAGTGGAATCAGCAGCATCTCAGACATCATAACCCTTAGTTATTTGGTGTCTGCTCTTCCAGGAGGAGTTCTGGGAAGTGGTGGT